AAAACATAGTTATCGGATAATATTTTTATAACTACATATACGATAATTTTATTATCTTTGTATACGTAAAATAAAAAAAATAAAAAAAAACCTGACATAGTTATTTTATAGAAATATGAGGTGTGCTTCAAAAACAACAAATTAGATAATCGTTAAAAAGAAGCTTTTGTGTTGGAGAAGACACTTGAAAATATGTTTTTGATAGTTAACGTAGCGGAATAGATACTCTTATTCATATTAAAGATTTTTTTTTTGCTAATAATCTAACACGTATTTTTTAGTGCATATACGTTTTTATATATAGATGTTGATGCATATATTTGTAAATGACAGACCTTCATCGTTTGAAATGTTTGGAGTTGTCTGATACAAAAGTTGGAAGCAATGGTCATTGCCATCACTCAGGTTACACATTTTTCTAACTAAAATTAAGAAATATAAATTGCATAATTTGATTTTTAAGGGTTAATTAATTAATCTTTTATAAAATCTGTTGCAGGGTTGATGGATCTCCAAATTTTAAATCTTTCATTCACTGTTATCATGGATGGAGGTTTACCAAATATATCCGGATTATCAACTCTTAGATCACTTAACTTAGATGTTCGCCACATCACAGATGCTGGACTTTCAACTCTTTCATGTAAAAAAAATAAGGTTAGTTTCTTTCTTTGCTTAATAGTAAGTTCATTACTTCTTTTATATTAGTTAACATCAATTGATTAATAAGGTGAATTTGTTGTTTTATTCGGTACACTGCATAGCATAACAGCTAGCTAATGATCCAAGCGCTTACTTGCCATCCATACCACCTGGTGGACATAAACCCTAAGATATCATACTTTGGCATGGCTAGAAGCTTTGGAGGAAACGGGACTCAAGCAAACACATAGAGAGTTGTTGGCACATAGTAAGCTAGATAATGCCATTGTATATAAATTATGCTTCTCTTGAATTCAGTTTTTTTATTACATTTACTCAATATTGGAATAATTATTTGTATTTGACATATTAGCAAAATGAATTATCTTTGTTATTTATGGTATTTTATTTTGTATTATTGGAATAATTATTTGTATTTGACATATTAGTGAAATAAACTTCGTAAATGGTTGCTGAAGTTTATGACACGCAAATGCGTGTCATCTTCATTTATGACAGGGGCTTTAATGATACGCAATGCGTGTCTTAAACGCGCGTCGTAAAATTTACGACACGCAAATGCGTGTCGTCTTCCTTTATGACAGGGCCTTCCTTGATACGCATTGCGTGTCGTAACCGCGTGTCGTAAATGCGTGTCGTAAATGCGCGTCGTAAATGCGCGTCGTAAATAGACGACGCGCAAAAGCGTGTCGTCTCTCGTTATGACAGGGCCTTTCTTGACACAAATTTGCACGTCGTCTGAGCGTTTTACAACACGCATTACGCGTCGTAAAAGGCTGTTTTTCTAGTAGTGGTTGGTGATAATGTTGAAAGGAGTGATTTGCTTTGTTTAATAGGATAGTACTACTGTTATGGCTAAAGAAGAAGCTGCAAAGCTACTAAAGACCTACTTTAGCAGATGTTCGTTTTATCAACCAAAAATTCAGTTTCTCTGAAATTCTCATAAAAATAAAAATCGGCTTACCTCTAAAAATAATTACAGGCACAGTGGATGCATCAATTGATGTCATTGAGCCATTGACTTTGTGAAAAGAAAAGAAGGTCTTCAGGAATCATTGGAAGATGGAACAATGTCATTCTTGAATATAGCATCACATCAACCATATTAAGGTACTAACACATATAAGATTTTTAATTCATGCATTTATCTATTGTAACAAAAGTTACTATATTTTCTTTAGGCATACATTGATTGTCACTTGTAGATATATGAGAAATATGCTTTTGGCATTAATAGATGTAATCGGGGAGAATGTTTTCAATATACTCTATATGGCATGCATTATTTAAAAGTTAGTGGGAGTATTAATAACGCTTACCAATAAGATTTTTAGTACTGTTTTATTAAATTAAACTATTTGATTTTCAAGCACTGTATAGTGGACTTGGTCCTATAATTTGCTTTACCTTGAAAGACATGATGGTTCTTGGGTTGGTTATCATGAAGTTGAAAATTTAGCTTCTTTATTTGAAATTTAGCTACGCGTAACACTTATGACTTCACAAATTTGTTATCCATGAGTAAAAATTTTAGCTAAATATGGATTTATAAATAGAATATAAGTTTTTACATTTTTTATATATTGTGTAGATATATGGATTTGTAACAGGAGTGCATGTGCCAAGTATCTTGGTTTTGTAATAGGAGTGCATGAGTTGGACAGCAGAACTCCATGAATTCTTTGTTGAAGGAGTCAACCAACTTGGTGGTAGTGAAAGTGTGTATTAATGTTTTTTTTTAGTATTTAATTTACATATAAATTTTAAAAATATTGTTATTAAGAAGTCATGAGTGTATGTTTATAATTTTTGCTGACTTTTGTCTTTGACCTTGAAGGAGCTATACCAAAAGGAGTTTTGAAGCTCATGAATATTGAAAGTTTTGTAATTTATCATGTGAAAAGTCATATGCAGGTATGTGAGCAATTGATTGGTTAAGAACTTAATTTGGATAGTTATTTATAGTTGTTTCTTTTTTACTCAATCTGGGCAATGACTTAATGGTTAAGTTGGAAAATACTTGGTTTAATGTATTAAGACACTACCCTTTAACTAATTGTCCTTTTTTATCCCTTTAACTCCACTCATGTTGGAATTGATGACTATTGTGAAATATGTCTCTAGAACGTAGGGGTAAAATGGTCAATTAGTCTCATTCAGACGAAAAGATTCAAATTTTATGTATACAACGCTTTATCCAAACTCACATCATTACTCATAAACAACCCCTAAAAAGGAAATCTTGGCCTTTAGAGTGTGACATGTTGACATTTTAGGATAAAGGTGTTAAAAATAGTTGGTTTGACCACCAGAGTCAAAACTTTATATTTGATGTTTTTTTGTTGCTTTGATTTCAGAAATATAGAACAAATATCATGTACAAACCAGAGATAAAGAGTTATCTGAAGGTAGTAATATTATATCATTAATAAATGTTTCTTCAAAATATATTTTTAGAAAAAATTCATGATCTTTTGTGGGTTAAAAGCTTTGTGGTCCTTGAAGGCTTGAACAACTTATTATAAAAACTAGGGATGAACAAAAACTGAACCGCAAACCAAAAAAACCGCATAAACCGAAACCGAAAAACCGAAACCGAAATGAAAACCGATGGTGTGGTTTTTAGTTTTGCAAAAACCGAAAATACTCGGTGCGGTGCGGTTTCTAGTCTCGCAAAAACCGCAAAAAACCGAACCGCACCGTATATATATATATATATATATATATATATATATATATATAT